AGTTGTGCGGCTTAGTATTTTTGAGGAAAGCATGACACACTTTTTTAAGGATTAATTAAAACGCTCAAAAGAACAGCAGAACAGCATTTCTTTAAAAAGCGACTCTTTTGTAACATTTTGAATCTACATTGTTTTTTTTATAATTTAATTAAATGCATCCTTGCTGAATAAAAGCATATATTTCTTTAAATAAATAAATAAACAAATAAATAAATATTCTGATCCCAAAGCCCAAAAATTACTTTAATAAAATGGTGAAAAGAAAATCATAATTTAAAAAAAAGAAGAAAAAAAATACATCAGCGATTTATATGTCATTTTTATTGAAAATGTTTTTGTTTCTTTGTTTTGTTTTTATTTTTAAGATTTTAGAAAAGTAATTTTACAGTGATTTTGCCATGGTTTGGTTGCTTTGCCTAACAACACTCGTTTAACACACATACACAAATACAGCAGCGCTGTTTATCAGGTCAGTTGTTACAGTTATAATTGTCTAATGCCGTCCTTCCGTATCAATCTTGTATCTGAAAATAGTAAACCTTCACTGCGGTTTAGGACAGAAAACCAGCTCAGGGTAAAGCAGGGCTGTTGCACACACACACACACACACACCCTGCTTCACATAAATACACACACAGGTGAGAGATAAGCACAATCTGATTTTTATTCTCGCCAGAGCACACAACACCCAATCAATGAAACACAAACCCTGCGAACACTCGCACCCAAATAAATGCTTTGACCCGCTTTGACGGTTTTTCAACTTTCCTTTAGCACCACGACGTGTTTTCAGGCCTTTGTCACCATGAATAATGTGCGAATGAATACTTTGCATCTCAGCCGTTGTTATATATGACTGCAGAAATGGCGTTTGCTGGCGTTGTAAAATATTGACATGTTACAGGTACATGTAGGCCTGACTGCAGGTGACGTTTTATGAGCTGTTCACTTTGCGCACTACATCAGTCATGCACTGAGGAGCTGATCGCTGTAAAGGTGGACCGCATGTGTGTGTGCAGCTGCCGCTTTAAAAGGCTTTGCAGGGGAATTTCCCTCTTTTGCCTTTGTGAGAAACAAAAGTGTTCAATTCAGAGTCCGTCTTATCAGATATCCTGCCGGGCTTCTGTTAGGAAATCACATTAAAACAAGGGAGGAATTCACCAAGAATTAATTCAGCCACTGATAGCATTGTGTTTTCACTTGATTTACTAAAGGAATTCAGGTGACGCAGCAAACACACACAAATATCTGCTGAACACACAATTCCTCATCTTGCAGGTCATTCTGAAGGCTAGGATGCAGCAGAGCACTGTGATGTGTGGGACTTTACAGGGATTGTACAGCATCACTTCACCAGTCCAGTGCAGACACCTGAATCTGCTCTTTGGGATGACAAAATGTGTTTAACTGCATGGCACATCCGGATAATCAGTGGTCATAGCAATCTTCCCCATCATGCGATGAATAGCTGCTACTGTAATCAATAGAAAACATATATAAAGATTCATTTCAAATAAATTACAGGGAAACAGCGCTGAATATAGACACAATATGCAATAGGCCTCATCTGCATAGAAAGAAGGCATATTTGCACAGAACATAATGACTTAATTGAAATAAACAACAAAGTGCTATTTTAGCAAATTTAACACCTGGTTAAGATGGATTGCTAGTAGAAAAAATGCTGGGCTTTGCACTAAAAAT